AGGATGCTTAAGATGGCCCAAGAGACTAACCTACCCTGGCCAGAAAGTCTTCCCATAGCACTGTTCAGCATGAGGTACACTCCAAGAGGGAAATTTAGCTTGTCCCTGTAACGGATTACCTGGCACCCCGACTGGGTACCTCCGTTGAAGGATGCTCCTAGCGCTTCCTGAGGACTCCAAGCACTCTGGCAGACACCACAATCACCAAACCGGAGAAACAAATAAATTCTCCCAAGCATATGAATGCTGTAGACAGTTGAATACAGTTGAATACGAATAGGTACCATACGAATAGGTTTACTCTCCTAGCAGTCAAACTGGAACAGCATACAATGAATCCTTCCCCCAATAATGAGATGACACTTCACTTTGAGGGTTAAAACAGGAACTCCCTGTAATGTCACATACAGTCTCTTTTATTCCCAATCCACAAACATAGTACAGCCCACAGGGCATTACAAAACAGCCAATCAATCCATACAATACACCCAGACACTCCCACACAAAATCCTCCCCTCTGGCTGTGATATGATTACTGAACACAATGGGTAATCTAATTATCACAGCCAGAGAAATACAGTTTCATAAAACACATCACAGGGACCCCAAAACATGCAATAACCCCATAAAAAGTATATCCTTGGAACTGGGGGATCTGGGTGAACCACATATCCAAAATTCACCCAGATCTGTTCAGTACTTTGGAAAATACAGTTTAATGCAGATTCTGCAGAACATATACAGGCTAAATAAAAAACAATCACTGTATAATGTGTCCCCTGCTGTATAGTCCAAAACCACCGCATGATGTCTCTGTGCAACAAATACTGGCGAGATGGCACCGTGTTGAAAAGTCCACACAGTGTCTGTGAGTTAAAATGTCCACCATCCATTGTTCTCACCATGTGCTTCTGATACAGGAAATGGTGGCCATCCAGTAACTCCACAGTATGTCCCCAGATGGTTCTTAAAAGGGCCAGCAGCAGCACAACACAAATCCATTATGCCCAAATCATGTCTTTAAAGGGCAATACATCCCAGGGGCCATAGTCCCATGGCAGGAGGCTGGCAACCAGGCTTCTCCAGTGCATAGTGGCGAGGTTGGTTCCGCCACAGTCCCCATACGAGATTCTGTTTGGTTCAGCTCCCAGGCTAGGCTGTTACTTTCCTCAGCAGCTCCAAATTCAGTCAGATGCAATGGTAGATTACATAACTGCTCTCTCTCGTGCCTTGACCAAAATCCATACGAAAGTGTTTTCTTCTAATCCGGATCCAGAGTCTGATACAAGCACCCATAAATTGCTCCCTGGGGATTGGGTTCTGGTTAAGAAATTCCTGAGAAAACACACTCTTGAGCCAAGGTTTGATGGACCATTCCAAGTCCTTCTAACTACATCTACCTCAGTAAAACTAGCTGGGAAGAACTATTGGATACATGCTTCACACTGCAAGAAAGTTCCATCTCCAGAGGAAGCAGATTCCGTTGAGCCATGAGCTTCATGTACCTTTTCCTGCTGCTAGACTTAGAGGCCCAACAAGTTGCAATTACCAAGGATAATCATGTTTACATATTTTGGTATAATTCTTCCAACACACGTTGCCACTTTCACATTTGAATACTGTTATATTGTCTCTTGTACTTTTCCACAATCACAACATTCAACTTATATACAAAGACATACATAATAAAAAGGACCCATACATTTGTGTGACTGGTGACCATTGGGGACATCACTGTAGTTCCTGGAAAGCAGCAGGTTGGAATACGGGCCGACCATGGGGCTACAGACCACAAAGTGCCTTAGATATGGTGGAGAGAAATGGGAAAACTCTATTACACAGAATTACTTTATGCAAACCAACAGGGTCAACCCCTAAGAAGCTTACCTTAAGCATAGGACACCCTAGTCCAGGAGATGCTGGAGAGTATATAATGGGAATGGATTGGAGGGAGGGTGGTTCTTACAATAAATTAGGAACTTTCTATTTACAAGACATGCATACATCACCTGAGTGGGTGGATACAAGACACATGACTATCAACTCTCTCAAACCCCACATCAAGACTCTTAAAGACATGGTAGCCATAGCTAAACCTACATTCGAAGACACTATGGCAGTGGAGACTGTTTTTTCAGACACTAATTTATGGTTTGAGTAGATGAGATATAATGCTAATTCTCATAATAAAACTAACTGTTATGTTTGTGGTGGGGCCAGACCCCATCTAGGTACAGTGCCTCTAAACCTACCTCTTGATGTTGAAACATGTTTCTTAAGTCTCTGTGTGCATTCCATTACAAACTCATCAGTATGTGAATCATGGAAGAAGGTATACCCTCTAACCCAAAAATACATCAGGCCACCTGATGGAGTCACAATGTATGCAGGTAATTACACTTGCAACACTACACACAGTACCACAGGAAAGTTTGTGGGAAAATTCCCTTCTGGATATTGTGTTACATATCAAAGGCCACCGGCTACCCTGTTAATAAATCAAGTTAAATCCTTGGGGGACATTTTTTGGCTATGTGGAGATTTGCAACTCAGATCCAAATTGTCTGGTCTATGGTGGGGGGGATGTGCTTTGGCTAAAGTTATCATGCCCATACACATAATATCAGACAACCACCAAGGCCCTCTTGACTCACACACATACTTTAGAGCAAAGAGAGAGACTCCTGTACAGGGCAGTTTCGACCCTCACATATACATAGATGCTATAGGGGCACCAAGGGGGGTGCCAAACTAATTTAAAGCCAGGAATGAGGTTGCGGCCGGATTCGAATCCTTGATTCCACTCATCATGGCCAATAAGAATGTAAATTGGATTAACTATATCTACTATAACCAGCAACGTTTTGTCAATTATACCAGAGTTGCCCTCCAGGGCCTGGCCGAACAATTACAAGCCGCCTCCCAAATGACGTTTCAGAATAGGATAGCCCTAGACATGATTCTGGCGGAGAAAGGAGGTGTGTGTAAAATACTCCCAGAAACTATGATATGCTGCACTTTTATCCCAGACAACATAGGCCCCACCATGGCCATAGAGAAGCTTGAAAGTCTCTCGGAAGAGTTAACAAGAAATTCAGGGGTCACCAATTCATTGGATAGATGGTTTGGATGGATGAACAGATGGCAGAAAGTACTCTTCCAAGTGGGAATGGCTGTCCTAACTGTGATGATTCTTTTTCTCTTCTTTGTCTGCTGTATACTGCCTTGTGTACAGAAATATTTGCAGAAGACTGTAGATAAAACCATTGACCGCACCACCCCAACCTTCCTACACCAAGACGTTGATGACAGAGCCTGAGACACACCACATACACCTCTTCAATCCCACCACATTAAGTATGCAATTACTCCTCTCTAAGGGTATTATAGGGACAGCGTCTTGTCTTACGGGTAGAAAGCCTGTTGCGGGAGCCGTAGTGGATAAAATGCTACAAGTCCTAGTGCAGTGAAGAGTTCAAGAAAGTGGATAAAATGCTACAAAGCCTAGTGCAGTGAAGAGTTCACAGATGAGCGGCAGCCTACTAGAGATAATATTAGGGATAGTAAGTAGTTGCTTATATCGTAAATAGTCATTTTAAGGGGGGACTGTTGTGTACAGAATATTTACTCTATTAATTTTAGTAAAATGCTTATTTATTCTGCATAACTATAATCAATGCTATTCATAAGTTACTTGAAATGGCTGCTAGGGAGTTTCCCCTGTCGTCAACTAACACACTCAATTAACAAGATGGCGCTGGAATCTGGAAGAGAGCTCCAAGATACCAATGACATCACACCTGGTAGGATGAGCAATTGATGAACCACTTAACACCTAACAAATTATTGATGTATTTTCCTCTGTTATCTATAATTATGCATATGATGTATTTCTGCTTTATAAGGGGCATACTGGCCGCCCAGAATAAAGATTCCTCAAGTCTTTCATTAACCTGAAACTTGCGTCTGGTATGAATTACTTCAGGACTTCCAAAATTGAAGACAAACACACCCTTCACTCACACCAATACTACACACAAATGTACATCTGCATTTAAAAGACAACACTAGATCCAAACACACCCCTGCATGCAATTACAAATGTTACATACAAACACACCCCTTTATTAAAACGCTAACATTATATACAAACAACAACTTTACACCCAAAAGCACACCTGCATTTAAAAGCCAACACTACATACAATTACACACCCCTACATTCAAACGCAAGCACCACACACAAGTACACCACTGCATTCCAATGGTAACAGTACATACAAATACACATACATGCACACACATACTCTATACAAAAACATGCTTACATTCAAATTCACAAACATTGCTCACAACCCTACAAGAATGGACAAATGGTAGATCCCCAGCTGGCATAGCATCATGGGAGATGTACGACAAATGGGTATCTATCTTTTCTCCACCCTTGAGCTAGACTGGAGATCCAAAAACAATTCTTGAACCAGGCCCTCTCCACATTAGTTCCATCACTAGGTTGGCATGGAGGCCGTGATTGCATGCCAGGGAGCTGGGGATTATGAGTGGGGGAGGAGGGCAGGTGCTTTTATCATCTTTCTAGAACAGTGCAGTGAGCCTTATGGTGTTAAAGGCTACATCAGATTTTCTGTGGGATGTGTCCAGCTTCCTACACACATAACTGTATACTTCACACGTCCACCATTATGAATATGTTAAATGTTGGCATCGATTTAGTAATCATCCACCCTTATAAAACGCTGGCACTGAAAGGGGTACCTGTTTACACACTATAGCTGCATAAATCATCCCATACACTAATAGTCTAACATTGAAAAAGTTTCATATTAGCACAGACGAAATAATGAACATCATCAATAATGCCCTTGCACTGAGTTTGTTAAACGTTCTCAGACATGGTTACATTTGGCTACACCGCTAGTAACGATCCCCATGTGCATCAAACAGGGCTGGCTGGGGTGTAACGTGCCTGACTCCGTGCCAACATTTCCCCCTCCCACAGCGACGCCCCCTGTCCGGCCACATATCAGCTGGGCTCCTGCCCCGAACGCTCAGGTGTCAGGATGGAGCTGAACGAGGAGCAGCACCGTATCCCTCTGAGTGATGGCAACAGCATCCCTGTGCTAGGACTGGGCACTTACTCCTCCCCTGTTACGGTGAGCGAACACTCTGTATATTCATTTCTACTTCTCGCATGATGTGGTGAGTAAGCAACTCTGTATACCGTGATACCCAAGCCATCCCCGTGCAAGGTGAGCACTCAATATGTATATGTATGACTACTCTCCCAGCTCTGTAAATGAACACTCAGAATGTGTACACAGTCACGAAAAGTGAGCCCTCTTCAGAAACTACTCAATTTGTGCAAGCAGAGGAGCATTCACTATGATTTCTCATTGCACAGTGCACTCTGAGTGAGCACCCTGACCAACCCGGGCACTCAAGCTAACTACACAGACAAGAGCTCCTCCGTCTCATGCTTCGTAAGCGAGCATTCATTTGGAGTTATATGTGAAGAGAATTCTAGGACAGAGTGCTAAAAGTGGAGAAATCAGCAGAAATATTCCATTCGTTCCCACGGTGATTTTTGCACTATTAAAACTTTGCACAGGCTTTACTGCTCCTAATGCACACTGATCACAAACAGCTACTCTGTATCATGCAAAATAAATGATTCGATTCTTTGTATAGGCTGTTTCTCCTTCTCATACACTGTAAGGGTTATCACAAAGAACTCGTGGTGAATGAGAAATATTTATGTGGCATATAATTATATACAGTGGTGTGATTGCTACAACTAGTCAGATTGCATTTGGTTACATTTTTACTTTTATGTATGGTATGCATAAAATATTTGGATGTTCTGCATGATAATAAAAGCCTTTTGACTTATCATTCATAAATTACAACTATCAATTTTCCTATTAGTATTAAGAAATTAATGGACTGGGGGGTGGGGGAGCATTGTGGAAACTGTTCTTAGAGCATTGTGGAATCTGACCTTGCTCCCCACCCCCTCTCTTGTGTCTGTTACACTGTTAACATGGCCTTGCCAATCTTCTTTATTCTCTATCATGTCTCCTAAGAAGCTGTTGCAGCTAATTTCTCCACCCCCACTAGGCACTGCAAGCAGCCCCCTAGGAAGACAATCCTCTACTAGGGTTCACAAAGCTTGTGCACCCTCTGTGTACCCTCTTACTGCCTTTCACCCAGACTTTGAACGCCAACGCGATGAGCCCTAAGGCAGCTGCCTGTGTCATCTTATGATAGTGCCAGCCCTAGTTCTGGTCCTGAAGCATAGCAATCGCAAACCATGCTATGGAGGTTCCATAGCATGTGCTACGGTTGTACGGTTGCTATGCTTGAGAGAGCATAAGTACCTCCTATGGCAAGTCTTTTCTGCTCTGC